CTTTCTTTCTTTCTTTCTTTCTTTCTTTCTTTCTTTCTTTCTTTCTTTCTTTCCAGACTTGCTTTGGAACTCAGAGATGTGTCCACCTATGCCTCCAGTGTTCTGGGATTAAAAGTGGGGGCAACCACCACCCAGGTAGTTCAAGAGTCTAGGGCTCTATGCTAGGACTCTGTTTTGAGAGAAAGGAAGCAGGAGATAGATGCATTCTAGTTTAATGACAAAGACAACTTCAGAACAGAGAGACAAAGAGCCAAACTAACCCCAACACACAGTGAGAGCTGCCACTGGGCTAGAGTGCTCCACACATAGAGACAGGAGACTTTTCCAGGTAGGGTGGTGGACAGAGGCTGTACCCAGGCTGCAAAGGTGTCAGTGATGGGTGCTAGGTTTCAGTCCTTGTGTGACAGCTACACTCTGGCTTGTGCATGGACTTCTCCATTCTAATGCTCCTCACATTTCTCTCACTTCATCTGGAAGTTGTTTTGAAGACAGGGTTTCACGTTGTAAACTTGTCTGACCTGGAACTTGCTATGTAGAAGAGGCTGGCCATCAGCTTACAGGAATTCTGCATACCTCTGCCTCCTGAGTCCTGGGATAAAAGGCATCCATCACAAGGCCTGGATTTCCCATTTCTCTCTCTCTCTCTCTCTCTCTCTCTCTCTTGGACATCCTAGTTTTGGTGATGGCCAGATTGGCTGTAGATAAGACTCAGGACATGGACAAAAGTCGTGTTTAAGTTTTTCTCCTCCACAACACTGGTTGTGTTGAAATTCTCACACTGAGAATTTAACAAAACACCTGATCCCATCAGCACACATAGGCCTTTTGTTGGTGACACCTACTTCCTGTCCAGGTCAGTCCTCACAGAAGTGTACTTTCTATGCTGTTTACACTCTCTGGCTGTTTGTCAGACAGAGGATTTCACGACCCCTGACAACCCGGAGCCTCCCTTTTCTCACACATTGTAGGTCATCAGGTCGGAGAGCAGCATCATGTGCCTCCTGTTGATGTTCATGCCATGGTTGACCATCGTGTACTGGATCTTGTTGATGATGGTTGTCAGGGCAGCCTCAATGCCCAGAGAATTCTCCACCTAGAGAGCTCGGAGTGAGTGGAGGCAATCCCTTCTGGGAGCTACCTCACTCCTACTTCTTCCCTTTTGACAAGCACAAAGCAAACACTACTCTATTATCAAAGTTGATTGTTTTATAATTCTTGGGGAAGCAAATCCCGGGGTCAGAAAATTGCTGGGTATTGGCTGAGGGTCCAGATGTAATGGTACCTCATAGGTGTTATTGGAAGTCATCTGAGTGCCTTTCACACTATTGGTGACCATGACTGCCCAAAGGTTGTCACCTTCTACCAGAAGCTTGAAATTCTCCTTCCTGCTCTGCTCGTCAATATGGATGACAGCTCTGGACACCCCCAGGGTGCCCTGTGCCACCACCTACATTCAATGCAGAATGCTTAAGATGCTGCAACCCGTAGGTCCCTACTGAAAGCATCATAAATGGGGCTGAAGACTGGGCTGGTAACTAGTTCATGCCATTCTCAGCCCATTTATCACCAGCAGTGTGTGTACTCCAGGGGTACCTAGGTACTGCTTGGGTTAGGGGAAAGGTGGTTCAGAGGACTGTGCCCCAATCTACAGTCAGCTTGAAGAGAGAGCAGAAAAGAGACTAATGGATAGAGTTGCAGTCTCAGAACTAAGGATAAGAGAAGAAAGGCCTTTGTGCAGCTTGGGCTTTTTGATTGTCTTAGCTCAGGAAACTTCATTGATTGGAAATC